CTGTTTTACTAATCTGTTAGAGTTCTTTGAAGGGGTTAACAAGCATGCAGATAAGGGGGATCCAGTAGATATAGTATACTTGGATTTTCAGAAAGCCTTTGACAAGGTCCCTCACCAAAGGCTCTTGTGTAAATTACATGGCCATGGGATAAGAGGGAAGGTCCTTTCTTGGATTGAGAACTGGTTAAAAGATAGGAAACAAAGGGTAGGAATAAATGGTAAATTTTTGGAATGCAGAGGGGTATCTAGTGGTGTCCCCCAATGGCCAGTTCTGGGACCAATCCTTTTCAACTTATTCATAAATGATCTGGAGAAAGGGATAAGCAGTGAGGTGGTAAAGTTTGCGGATGATATCAAACTGTTTAGGATAGTCAAGACAGAAGCAGACTGTGAGGGTCTCCAAAAAGATCTCACCAAACTGAGTGATTGGGCAACAAAACGGCAAATTAAATTTAATGTGGATAAGTGTAAAGTAATGCACATCAGCAAAAATAACCCCGACTATATGTACAGTATGATGGGGGCTAATTTGGCTACAAGAAATCAGGAAAGAGATCTTGGAGTTATCGTGGATAGTTCTCTGAAAACTTCCACACAGTGTGCATCAGCGGTCAAAAAGGCAACTAGGATGCTAGGAATTAAGAAAGGGATAGAAAATAAGACACAGAATATCTTACTGCCCCTGTATAAAACTATGGTACGCCCACATCTTGAATACTGTGTACAGATGTGGTCTCCTCACCTCAAAAAAGATATTTTGGCCTTGGAAAGGGTTCAGAAAAGGGCAACTAAAATGATTAGGGGTTTGGAACGGGTCCCATATGAAGAGAGGCTAAAGAGACTGGGACTTTTCAGTTTAGAAAAGAGGAGACTGAGGGGGGATATGATAGAGGTCTATAAAATCATGAGTGGTGTGGAGAGGGCTGATAAAGAAAAGTTATTTATTAGTTCCCATAATAGAAGAACTAGAGGACACCAAATGAAATTAATGGGTAGCAGGTTTAAAACTAATAAAAGAAAGTTCTTCTTCACACAGCATGTAGTCAACCTGTGGAACTCCTTGCCAGAGGAGGCGGTGAAGGCTAGGACTATAATAGAGTTTAAAGAGAAGCTAGATAATTTCATGGAGGTTAGGTCCATAAAAGGCTATTAGCCAGGGGATAAAATGGTGTCCTTGGCCTCTGTTTGTCAGAGGCTGGAGAGGGATGGCAGGAGACAAATCGCTTGATCATTGTCTTCAGTCCACTCACTCTGGGGCGCCTGGTGCTGGCCACTGTCGGTAGACAGGATAATGGGCTAGATGGACCTTTGGTCTGACCCAGTACAGCCGTTCAGATGTTTTATGTATAGTTATGCCACAATTTGGAAAGGGGTCTGTGTAAATGGAATCTTGAGCTTGAGTTGCTTCCCAGTGAATCCTGTGGGATCTATAAGGATGCAAACCCTTTATACTTCATCTATGAACGCTAGATGAGAGTTCCCTTTTTTAAAATGATGCACTCTATATTTAGAATTTGGCTGAAGTTATCATTGCTTTTTCACAATTGAGAAACATTTAAAAAAATACACGTGGCTATCCGCATTTGTCCATTAGGTACTCATATGTTTGTCATCTCTCTGAGATTTATTAATCCACTACCCGTCTCTTAGTTACTCTGTCCAGAAATGTTGGCAGTCCCCAAGTTAGTGAAATATTATAATAAATGCTATATTCAAATTGATGAACTTGTATATGATAGTTGTGTAAGACTACCATCATTTCTTAGGATTTGGGAATAAAATGAGTAAGAGCAAGTTAAAGCCCTGATCCTAAAAGGCTTATGAACTGTGTAACTTCAGTGGAACATTTTGCAGTATATGAAGTTAATAGTGTGCCTAATGGTAGGTCTACACTGCAGTTAGACATCTGCATCTGGCCTGTGCCAGCTGACTCGGGCTCTGTCATGGGGCTCCAGCTAAGGGGGCTATTGAATTGCGATGTGGATATTCAGGCTAGGGCTGGAGGTGCAGCTCTAGGACCCTCCCACCTTACAGAGTCCTAGAGACCAGTATAGGTGTTCAGGCTAGGCCTAGAGCATGGAGTTAAACAGTGCTGTACCACAAGCCCACATCGGTTTGCTTGTGCCAGCTGCCTTTTTTTTAAGCAGTGTAGACATGAGACTGGGCCTGCAGTCCCTATATTTGCTTGTAGATGTGGCTCTGTGTCCTCCAGGACATATAATTAGTGCTGCTTACTTTGCAGGAAAACAGAGCTTCTTGTAAGCTTCCTGTTTGATTGAAAACTCATAGGAATTAGAATTTTTCCTCCTTCAGAAATAAACTCCTGTTTGTAAAATCAGTTTTTTGCTTTGTGCAAAAAAATTAATTTAAAGAGCTGAATACTTTTTTTTTTTTTCCCTTCGGTTGATCATTCTTGTGATTTCTTATCCATATAAATAAATTGATGCCTTGGGCAGATGCCAGCACACAACTAAAATATAATGATTAATGAAAATGCTGTGAAGCAAAAGACAAGAATTGAAATATTAATGTATTGGTGCAGGACTTGTCTTATTAAATGCTGGAATAAAACCCAACTTGACGGGGAAGTAGGTGATATTTTAAGGTTCTTTAATTTGTGAAATATTATGCCTAAAACCATATGCCTTACATCATTGGAAAAACTGGGATTTGTAACTTTCCTTTCATATAACAAATGCAGTTGTGGCAGAATGTCATCTAAGAAAACAAAAACCATGTTTACTGAAAATCAAGGTTGTGTCAAGACACATCTCAGGCATCCCACAACATTTGAAGTTGGAAATAAGAATTTAAGAGGAAGCGTTCTGAATCTCATATTACCTGCAGCCCAGTTGATAATACTTCAAGGTAACATTAGACTTAAATGCATTCCATCAGATACACAGATGCAGTAAGTATATCACTTCATCAACCCTGTACTTAATGCATAACCTCAACAGTGGACTCATACGCTTTTGTACCGATAGGTCAGCACATCTGACTGTCACATTCTGTGCATTGGGGAAGTAGTTTTTCTTTAATTCTGCTGACATCATGGGTGTTTTGACTCTACTGCTGCATAGGGTTTCCAGTTAAAAGCCCTGTTGTCCCCAGACAGGCTAAGGTGTGGACTCCCAGCAGTGCTCACTTCAGGTGCCTCCTGGAAAGCAGCAACATATCCCAGTGCCTTCTAGATGCAGGGGTAGCTAGAGAGTCGCTATGTGCTGTCCCAATGGTTCCATCTCTGCAGTTCCCATTGGCTTTCCTTTGCACCCTACCCACAGATTTGGCCCTATAGCTTCCACTGGCCAGGATTCTAGACCAATGGGAGCTGCAAAGCTAGTGCTCAAGATTCCATGCCCTCCTCCTGGCTCTGTACCCACAGCTAATGGGAGCTGCAGAGCCATTGGTTCCTGGCCAATTTGAGCTGAGGAACCCTTGGTCAGGGGCAGTGTGTGGAGCCTCTCTGGCTGGCTCTGCTACTAGGAGCAACAAGGGCATGTTACTGCATCCTGGGAGGTGTCTGAAGTAGGGATGTAAATGTGAGTAGTCGAGTATACAATTAACCAATAAACCTAGGCCTATCGGTTAATCTTCTCAACTACTCACACTCCTCCTTCTCTTCCCGCTGCCTCTGTATCAGAGGCATCAAGGAGGAGAGTGGGGGGAGAAGCAGGAGCGGGTGCTGTGAGGAGCCAGCTTAAAAGCCTGCGCCCCTCGCTGCTTCTGCCTCTATCAGATTGAACAGTGTGGTGGTGGCAAACCATTGTTTGCTCCGCTATTTTTGTTATATATTTTTGGATTGCTTTTGGTAGGCAGTGATAAGCAAAACAAAGACAGGACAAGGGAAGGGATGTGAGAGGGGTCAGGAGGAGGTAGAAGGGGCTCATAAAGTGAGAGGTTCAGGTAAAGAATTTGAGAATGGAGCAAACAGCCAATCTGCACCGTTTAGAGAATGCCTGTATAAGACTTCAGAAAATTAATATCAACACTATATAGATTACGTTTCTCTGAGTACTAACTCTTCAAACAGATCAGTGCTGTTTTGCATAATTTAAAAAACGAGATTAGATGATGTGATTTTAGCCAAAACATTTTAATAACCTTTTAAAAAAAAATCCTCATATGTAACTGATGGTGGTTTACAGTAGTTGTTGGCTCTGCTGAACAATAATTTTACTAAGTGTTTTTTTTGTGTTCTTAATGTCAGTAACTTTGCTTCTGAATCTCAGACAGGGTTTAAGATATTAGCAAGGAGGAAAGAAACGATTGAGAGGACATGAATCACATGATAAGCAACAGAATGAACCATTTGGAGTGGTTTACTGCATCTGATGGTAATACTGGCTTTGGCAGGGTCTTCTCTACTTACAGTTCACCTTGATAGCCTTTGTTTTACCAGTACATTATGGATTTCCCATTGCATCTCTCTCACTGTGTCTAGCACTGTTCTTGGGAGTAAAGACATTGGAGTAACCAGAACTGGTCTTAGGGGTGGGTGAGCCGAGCAGTTGCCTGGGGCCACTGACAGAGCTGGTCTTAAGGGAGGTCCATGGTCCACTCAGGACACGCGGTAATTAAAGGGGCCACGAATGCATTTTGGCCTGACCTCCCAAATCCTCCTCCCAGGTTTCGCCTTTTTTTTTGGCTTGACAAATTTTTGTCTGCCCGAGGCTGTTAGGACTGGTCCTGGGAGCAACTTCCAAATATGACACATTGCGTTCGTTGTTCAGTGGTGCACTGAGCCTGGGTGGCTGCAGTGGTTTTGTTTTTCCATTTATGAGGTGAAGATTTGTATAAAGTTCATACTCATCAGACTTCATGGAGCAGAATACTCAGAGGTTGTTTTTGAGATGACTACTAAGAAGGGAGAGTAAGATGTTTGTATTTTAAGCTCAAAGTATCCTAAGCAGTGCTGCTTGCATTGGTTTTAGCTTAAGGGTTTTTTGTTTTGTTTACATTTCACTTTCCTTGTTTTCAAGTGAGTTATTGACGTTCAGATACCACCAAGATGGGTGCATTAGCTACTGAGAGAGACTCATTCAGTTGTTGGTATTATGCCAGAAGTGCATATATTAATCATGTTTCAATGCAAGATAAAAAGAAAGATAAAGGAACATTTCTTCCTTTTGAAGAGTGCCTCCAAACATTAACTATTTAAAAAAATCCTTAGACATAACATTTCTAATTCAAAGAAGAACAACATAAATTCCAAAGCAAATGCAAGGGTTTACGTGTGTATATCAGCTGCATTTTGTGTAGCATACTGCTGTATGTCTTCATCACAAGAATTAAGTGTATTTCTATAAATGAGGATGGGCTTTAGAATCTGTTATGAAAATGTGGGATTTGTATGAAGAGTGTTAAACACAAGAGCAGTACTATCCTAGGCTACGTCTACACTGGCCCCTTTTCCGAAAGGGGCATGTTAATTTCACAGGTCGTAATAGGGAAATCCGCGGGGGATTTAAATATCCCCCGCGGCATTTAAATAAAAACGTCCGCCGCTTTTTTCCGGCTTTTAGAAAAGCCGGAAAAGAACGTCTACACTGGCCCCGATCCTCCGGAAAAAAGCCGGAAAGTAGGAATAAGAGATCCTCCGGAAAAGGGCTTTTTTCCGGAGGATCGGGGCCAGTGTATACGTTCTTTTCCGGCTTTTCTAAAAGCCGGAAAAAAGCGGCGGACGTTTTTATTTAAATGCCGCGGGGGATATTTAAATCCCCCGCGGATTTCCCTATTACGACCTGTGAAATTAACATGCCCCTTTCGGAAAAGGGGCCAGTGTAGACGAGCCCCTAGTGTATAGCAATGTCAGGATAGGTCTACACTACGTAAGAATTTTGACTCCAGTCATGAGACTTTTGTAGCTCGGGTCGATGTACCTAAGTTGAACTTTTGCAGCGACTCCACTGTGGGGGGGTAGGTGGGAGAAACTTTGCTATCAATTTTCCTTACTCCTTGTGATCCCATGAAGTACCAGGGTCAATGGGGGCGCCATTAGTGGTTAACTTTAGTGGATCCTTATGAGACCTGCTAAATTGAACCCCAAAGCATCAGTCTACAGAGCACTGATCTCATGGTGAGAGAAGACAAGCCCTCAGTGTTGAATTACAGGCAAGGAAAATTAAGGCTGGCCTACACTACAGAATAAGCCCTGAGTAATTCAGATAAGCCAGCTATGACAGGGTCAGAGCAGAAGGCTATAAAAAAGTAGTCATACTGGAGTCTGGGAGGTGCGCAGGCATAAGCCCACACATCTAAGGAACCACTCCCCAGCCTGCAAGGGGGTCCGTAGAGCTGAGAACACCAAGTGATTATGGGAGACAGACAAAGAGAGAAACAGGAAGGCCAAAGGGCTAAAATGAGGGAACTGGATGGGAACACAGAGCAGAGAACCCTGGACAGCGCCCACTACTCCTGGAAGGCCTTGAGAGCCAGCAGTTGTGTGAACAGATAAAGGAGCGGAAATAGGCCCCACGGTTGCAGGCATCTCCTTCAGCCAGCCTCTGCTCCTTGGTCTTGTAAATTGCTGTTTTGCCTATAGCCAGGAGGAGGTTCATGAAGAGGTCCCATGACTTTGTGGGGCCATGGATGGGGTGTGCATAAATGAATAGGTGAGGGGAGAAGTGCAGCCAGAACCTCAACAAGAGGTTCTGGAGTAGCCGAAAGAGGGCTCCATGTGCACCATGGTCTCCCTCGTGCTACGGAAGGGGGTAAGTGTCGGGAACAGGCGTGAACTGTGCCAAGTACACACCCATGCTCACAGTGCCATGGAGGATTCTCCAGCTGATGTCTCCACCTTCCCGAACATCTTAGAGGCTGCCACCACAACCGTGGACCCCCACACACATGCTAGCGCCCTCACATAGGTTTCCACATGGGGTGAGGCTGACACCAGGAGGCAACGGACCCTGTGCCTCCTGGTTAGAGTGGGAAAGGGGTCGCTGCTATTGAGGATGGATTCTGGGAGGCAGCCGGAACACATTGGGGGGTGGCTACCTGGATGTATACCCTTGCGGTCGGAACACCATTGCCCCCAGAACTGGTGGAGGGAGCAGGGGGGGTGGGGAAGAGGAGAAGCCACAGCAGACATCTGGAGTGCGGTAGGGGGTGAGGCACCATCACAGGAAGTTTAACTTTCTGGGTGGGGCTCTTGCCCTTCTTGGTCTCCTGGCCCTTCCAGAGGGCCTTCTTAATGGTGACACTGGCAGGAGGTGTCATGGCAGGAGTCCGGAATCCCCATCCATGCCTGCCACCACTCTTGTTAGGAATGGAGCTTCAGGGGGTAGCTGAGTTAGCCTACTACAGAAAAAAACAACTAATGGCCTGGTAGCGCTTTATAGACTAACAAAACATGTAGATGGTATCATGAGCTTTCGTGGGCACAGCCCACTTCTTCAGATGACCAGCAGTCTCAGAGGGGACAGCATTTACAGAGGTAAATGTGAGCATGGGTGGGGAAGGGAAGACAGGAGGAAAGAGAGAGGTTCCGGGGAGGGAGCAAGGGGAGGAAAGAAGGGGGAAATGGAAGGTTCACCACTTCCCTATCTCTCCTCCCCTAGTCTGGAAGCGGAGTGGGATGGCAGCAAGCAGCAATGCAGAAAGGAGGAAGGGGGATAAAGGAACGAAGAGGTTACAACTCAGCACAGGATGGGAGATGGTGATGGGGGGGGAATTGGCTTTTAAGCCGACTCCTCCCAGCACCGTCTCCTGCTCTTCCTTTCCCATCCCCCTGCTTGTTGCCTCTATATTTGAGTAGTCAACTTGACTATCTGATAAGCTTAGGTTTATCAGGTAATCAACTGACTACTCTCTTACACCTCTATATAGTACTCTAGATTTAATCTAATTAAATGTTAACCTTTTTT